GCATGACATTAAAAGCACAATCTATCTTATTGTGTTGCTCTTTTTCAGTGACTTTGTTTGAGTGCAGCTCTTCATTCATTCCAGAAGATTACCAAAAGCTGTGTTTGGCTGGTTTGATCAATAAAGTGAGAGGCAAAAGAATATTTTTATCTAAAATTGCCCTTTATCTGGCTGTCCCACACCTAGAAGCTTTGCCAGCTTCTCAGTGTCTTGACAAGCTGGTGCATTTCTTATAAACAAATTATATATTTATTTGTAAATACAAGAGCCTTATCTAGGTATTCATATTAAGATGAGTGCCTCTCTGTGCAGGATATTGTAGAAAATCTTGCCTATTTGATACAATACAAATTGTACAGAAATACAATATTTTACCTTGTTAGAAGTATGACATGTTAATTTTGTGATTCAGTTGGGTGAAGCAGTTTTCATAAATGCATAGTAAAATTAATTTATACTACTACAAATATTAATGCTATCTTGAACTGCAAGCTACTCTGTTTTCCTTTGAACCATACTCTACCTGTTGTGTAAGTAATATTTGAAATTGGTGTGTATTTTAGTCTTAAATTTATTCTAGTTTACAACTCTTCACATCTGGCACAAGGGATTTAGTAGTAGGCCACTTCTAGATTTCCACTGGAAGGATCTTCTTACTGAGAGATCAAAGAATGATTATTTTAAGCAATATATTTTAATTTGAACATCAGCTAAGTATTTGAAATAGCCCAAATGCAAGTTAAACCTCTTAAGAAGGCCTACCATAGCTCTTAAAAATACAAAGAAAACCTTCACTGTTTTTCATTATAGCTCTTTAAGATTAAGAAGACTGAAGCTCCATGACCAGAAAGTACACGCACTTTTGACTTATATTTATAGAAAATAAAATATATAGCCTGAAATAATCAGTGTCTTTATTGCCTCAGTAGGACATTCCTTCCAGTAGAAGGTCTGCTCATGCACTGTCACACTACTGTGTAAATCATGAATATCAGTCTTGTCTATCATTCTTTTGCTGTCTCAAAATATGCCAACAAGAGCTTAACCTTTAAAATTGCTTACCACTGTTGAGAAAAGATTCCAGAAGACTTCCCTCAATTTGTAATGATGATAACTGTTAATTTTCCTGACTATAAACTTCAAGTATATGAAAAAATACATGTTCAACCAACAAATCTTAACCACTGTAATGAAAAAATGGCACAAAATCAATATTTCCATTGGCCTTGTCAATAAAGGTCGTAATGAAGGGTTGAAACAACGTCTGCACCCATTTTTATTTACCATCTCCTATCTTTGTGTACTGATACAGAACCAGCATAAAATTTGGCTTGATATCAGATCTCTAACAAACAAAAGTAATGCTTCAAATCACAATTATATAAGATGTAAGTTAAAAGGAAGCAATTAAAATGCAATTCCAGTACCATTCTCTCTACTCAAAATGTCTCTGCCTAATGCAATGTAGAATATGAACCTAATTTAAAAACTTAATTTGATAAATTCCAAACAAATATTTTTTTTTCACTAAAACCTGCTGGCATGGCTGCCATTCTGTCATTCACTTTTGTGTCTTCAGCATCCTTTGAGAAAAAGAACAACTTGGTGGCAAATCAGTATTCCTATAATGTTCCATACTGAGTCATTGCTGTCAACAACTAGTGGTGGCATGCGTTACTATATTTGGAAAGTAAAATTAAGCAGTATTTCAAATTAATTGGTGTACTTAATGTATGAAAGTATTCCAAGTATGATCCATAATGCATTTAATTGGGAATCACTCTGTGTGATTTTCTGTGAAAACAAAGAGTCCATGGTTTAGAAGGCTGTTATTTCTTTATTTTTAATGAAGCTTTGAGTCCTTTTCAGAGATATTTTCAGTATGGCAATGCTTCAGAAACAGTTTCTTTCGAGGAAAGTTCATAATGACCAATTCAAGCCTCTGCTCTTAACTATGCTCAAGTGAACATCTCCTTAAGAAGAGCACATTATACAAATCAGCTGCACTGAAGTAAGGTCAGTCACCTTTGCTGAGTACTCCTAGTCACCAGGTTACAAACCCAAGACAAACCCCCTGATCACAAATACTGCGTAGTTAATTCATCAAGAGCTCCGTTCAAATTCAAACATAACAAACTGCTTTTAAGACATGTAAGGCAAGTAGCAACCATTGTTTTCCTCTGCATTTTCTCTCTAATATCTGTATCTCTGCTTCCTGTAGGTGGTCTTCAGAAGTTCCTCACGGACACTGTTCAAGCTACATCCAAGAAAAGCTGTGTGTCTCTTTCAAAAGCAAGGAAACAAAAGGGTGTGAGATGTGTCACTCCTTCTTTATGGAAGGGCTGCACAAGTGGACACATTCCTATCGAGCCCTCCTCTTTTCTGAAAATTTTTCAAAACTATTTTCCCCTTGGTTGGGCTTTACATTCAAAATGTTGAGTACGAATACATTCATCGCAGCAACAAGACTTCATTTTTCTTTAGAAACCTTCAGTCATTTTGGTTTATGGACCCTCCAAAGGCCAATACCGGAATACAAAAATACAAAGGAGTGATCCAAACTTTTAAATGCTTATCCAAAGCATTTAAACAGGTAAGTGTTGCAACATGGAAAAGTCAACAGAATCTCTGATTAATAGAACTGAGAATATATACATATATATATATATACGTATGTATATATATATATATATACATATATTTTTTTTTTTCCAGGAAAAACTGTTGAGACATTAAAAAAATCCGCTGCATCCATCCTATTATATTGCTTGAATTCACTTTGAACTTAGCATCAAAATGAGTATATATTATTAGAGCAAAGAAAAAAAAAATGCAGTTACACAAAATCAGTGACACTGCATTCATGTGCACTGCTAATCAAACCAAAGGTGCTTGCATATCCTATGCAAAATTTGCAGTGGAGTACTGTTCTCAGAAATGAAAGTCATAAACATATAAAGAAATGGTAATATCCTTGAGTTATTCGTAAGTTGCCTACAAGCAGAAAATGAGACAGAGTAAATTGGATAAATTATTCATTGTAAATTAGTTTTTCATCTCTGGGATTTATTGTGAAAGAACAACAATTACACATGACATTTGTTGCTGGTCAACAAATAAATTCACTTGGTTTTAGCATCAAGACAGATAAATAGTTCAATTGCTATTTAGGAAGAAAAATGGTGTTTATTACTACATTCAAAATTAAAAATATTTTTCCCTAAAATATTATTAACAAATTCACACTGAACTCTTCCTTCCACCTGTACACCAACAGTTTTAAATATTATCTCAGTTCACAAGATGACAGAATGTATTTGGATTATGTTCATTAGTCTCTCCAAATTGGTAAGAGAGTGATTTTCATTGCAAACTGTTGGATGACGGCAAATCTGGGAAAGCCCGTATATTCTCAGCTGTGAAATACAGATGTTGAAAGGATGTAGGAGACTGAAGGATCTCCAAAACATATGATTTTGCTCTACAAGAAAAATGTTTACAGTTACTTAAATAGGTACTAACACTTAAAAGCACAAATGTGTTTGGTTTCATTGCAGTACTCTATTATAAATTAAAATCACTTTTTTGTGTATATGTTGTGTTTCTGAGAGCAAAAGCAGTGTAGGATTGCCTGAATATTTTCCTGATCTTCTGTAATCCAGCTGCCTCAATTTCTTCTTTCTTTATATTTGCCAAACAGGAAATAGCTAATAAATGTTTCCTAAAATCTGTTTAATATCTTAGGACATTTACCAGTAGATTAGATGAAAAGAAGATTTGCTTCATTTATAATTTTAATCTTAAATTACAAAAACCCTGTTTTGAAATTGTCACTCGTGGATTAGGAAAAGAACTCTGCACAGAACAGGAAGATTTCAGATATTATGCAAAAAACAGATATACTATATTTATCTATCTATATTATCCATAAATGAGGGATATAGTTTTTTTTAATACTATTTTTTCTTTTTTTTTCTTTTTTTTTTTTTTTTTTCCAAGCAGGGCTTCATACTCATTTAAAAATAGAAACTGTGTTGAGGTAAATAATAGTAGGGACTTAATTTCCCTCCTTTTTTTTTTTTGCAGCTGTTGTTCAGTTTTGGCTTTTGGCATTGACAGAAAGTGTGCCCCTGATTTGAAATGGCCATGATCTAACCTCCACTCTTCAAATGCAGACGGTTGAGTAAAGCTTTTCCAGAAGGCCTCTAATTAAATAAAACTGAATCTTCTCAACGCAATTCTATCTTCTCAATGGTTCTCCCAGTGATAGAATTAAAGTGTGGATGGGTTGTTCATCTTTCTTACCTTTGGATTTGTTACAGCTCAGAAAAGTCAGATTTTATATATGACGGAATTTTTTTTTCTACTTGAATATCTGTTGTTATGGTGATAGTTCCAGGAGGGAACATTAATGAGGATGACTTGAAAGCTTTGATGTTTACAGCATGATTACTTGTAACATCTCATAAGAAAAGGTGACAGCTACTACTACTCCTTGCTAAATATGCATAATTGTATCAGTTTAAATGAAAAATACCTGTATTTCTATTTGTTAGGCATCTGTAACACAACTATGAATACAAGTGAAAAATCCATATATACTTATGTAATAAGAATTCAGAAGAATAAAGAAATCTTATTTTCTCAGAAGGGATATTATTTGTTATTCCTAAGAACTTCACCTACAATAAACAGTATTTTTCAACTACAGCAGTCTTCAGACTACATTTATAGCCTGAGTTGCTCTTTTGCGATATTCTGAGAGCTAACTAGCACAATCTTCTCATATCCAAAACTAAGCTGTGAAAAGCTCTGTGAACTCATATCACCTGAACCATAATTCTGCTGCCACATTATATCACCTAGACTGTGATTCACCAGCAGGAGGTACGCAGTAGAGACAAAGAGCTTATTTGACTAGATTCTTCGGCCTTAGAGGTGCTGGTAGCTCAGCACAGCAGTTTGGCTCACATCTGTTAATGGTGCATGCAATTACTTACATATCCTTCATATGCCTCATGTGCAGGTGGTGGGGGTGGTCTGTAGCCTGGTACCGCTGGGGCCCCCCTTGCTCGAGGTGTGGGAACACCTCTTGCTACAGGTGGGACGGGGAGAGCTCCGCGAGTCACTGGTGCTCCTCTGGGTGCTTGGGCACCTCGTCCAGGGAGGGGCGGAGGAATCGCACCCCCACGGCCCCTGTGGGAGCAGAAAGAAGTGAATGCACCGGGGTGTACGTTAAGGGAGGACAGGCAAATGCTACCCCACTATAAAGGCTCCTGTATTTTTACTGCTATTTAAAGTGTTGTGCTACTATGGGTTTTGGCAGCTATGATGTCAAGCTCTTTTAGGCAGTATCTCATGCAGAACTTCTGTTATGGAAAGACATTATTTCTAAGCTACTCAGTGCTTTTTACATCTGATCCTTCTTCTTCACTTGTACTACTGAAATACTGGAGCATTGTGATTCAATTTGCAGAGTTACTCTGAAGTAGTTCCAAAACAAGAAAAAAAATGAAGATTTTTTTCCATTGCTTCCAAAATACAAAAGCAATCACTGTCAGTTTCATGCTTATTGGTGGATGGGAGAATTTGTCTGGCAGAAGATAATGCTGGATAGCAGAAAAGAGCAAGGCAAAGCAGGGAGTATAAAAGGAGAGTAAGAACTTTCACTCCTGTTCAATTTAGTTCAGCACAAGGAAAGGATAGCGTAAGATTTGGCCTTCCCCAGTTTACAGAGAGAGCAGTGCATATAGACAAGCAGAGAAAGGTTTAGTTTAGCATTCTGCTCCTTATTTATGCTATATCCAAAACACTGGTATGTCAGAAGCAGCAGCTGATCTTGGTTAAAAAGAGGTTCTGGTATCCAGATTTGCCAAACTAGAAGGAGGATATATCAGAGAAACAATCTATGATTTTCCTTTCAGTATATAATTTTATATATAAAAATAGTGTTGTAGCTGAGGATTTGCTCTACCAAACAGTTCTACAGTTCTATTATATTCTTTCTACTGTAGTAGCTTCCATGGAAATAAATAGGAGGCATTACTTTTAGAGCAACTTATTTAACTTAGATATTCCAGGTCCTTTTTTTTTTTTTTTTTTTTTTTTTTTTTCCTTTACTCCTTTTTTAACATTCTGCGATTTCTTACTGTTAAGTAAGGAAAGTATCCAACATCCTAGTTTCTGTCCTATTGCTCCAGTCAGTAAGTGTTCAACAAGAATGGAAGCCAGCACTCCACTGATTATACTTACACTAATTTAAAACTGCCTGTTACAATGATGTTGTGAACATCACCATCAAGTCCCTCACAGATCTTAGTAGCAAGGAAATCTAACTTCTGAGCCTCAGAACACTTCCATTAGAAGATGGTCATGAATGTCTAGTGTATAATGTCTTGGGCATGTGTAAGATATCACAGATTAAAAAAAAATAAAATGTCAAGAACAGAGGGAAAACACTTTCCAGGAAGGAAAAAGGGGCACAAGATCAGCCAGTTCAATTACCAAAGAGCAACTTCTCTGTGAGCACAATCAAGGAAGCTCTGTATTGCATTCCCTCTAAAAGTGTTTTTCTTAGCACCACTTGCCAAGCCTATGAGTAGCCTGATAACTTAAATACCTTAGGCAACAAATTTTTAAGGGTTCACATTCAAAAATGAGCCATAAGGATTACAGGAAGATTATATACTGTCTTCATGAACATGCAGAGGTATCTGTTGACAATACACACACACACATACACAAAAAAATACTTGCAGGAATTCAGGAAACATTCATATACCAAAAGTTTTAGATGATATCAGTGAAATTCATAAAGAAATGATAACATATACAACACATAGAATACAATTTAATATTTAGACTATAGCCTAGTATTATTCATATACTATGCCAAAAATAAGTAATGAGTTGGCAAATAAGCAGCTATCCAGACTATGTAGCCTTCTCTGTCTACAGCACAGAATGCCATTTTATTGACCTATGATTTTACGACACCAACTATTCTGCTTCTGCATCAGCATTACAATGTTTTCTCCCAGACATATCCTTCCACTAGCTTCATAATCTGTTCTGATTTGCAGTCTGTTACTTGCAACCCCCCCCTTATGACCTGTAAATTACAGATTTGAGAGCCTGGAACAATGTAGATAGCACAAATTCTCAGAAGAAAAACAGTCAGTTCGATTTACTGACTGTGATGTCTACAATTATTATTTTTAACTGCTTATTTTGCCATTGCTTACACTTTCTAAAACTATTCACATAATAGATTAGCTACCACACCTGGAAGGAGCTGCAGGTGGCACACGGATCCCTCTTCCTCGAATACCCCGTCCACGTGCTGAATCCTCGGAACCATTCAAATATGACAGCTCTCTCAGTTGCTCCTGACGAATTTCATCATTATAATCCTGAAATGCAAAAGATGAAACTTACTGAAATGTTGTATTTTGGCTGAGCTGCCAAACAACTTAAAACAGAAATTAAAGAAACTGCACAGATGCTGTTTGGATGAATTGCCTTGCATAAATTACCTGTAGGCTGCAATATTATTTTTGTTATTCATATTGTATTCATATCAAGTGATATGAAATTGATGTATTTGTGGACTGGATAAGTATCAATAATATATGGTCAGACAAATTTATGTGTATACTTAAGATGGCTAAAAACAAGACGCACACACAAAATTGAAAACAAAAGGCACACAAGGTGTAAACATGAAGTCTATCTGTAAACAAAATGCAAACAGACTTTCACATACAGAAGGTACAAATCTGAAACAGCATGAAATAAGTACAAAAAAAACCATTTTATAAATACTTGGTATATTTTTCTGGCAGAGAGCATTGTCTACTTTTATGTACTCCAAGCACATATTTCGCATAACACTGCACTCTGGCATAGAAAATTGTTCACTGCATGCTTTTGATTGGGTGGTTTCACAAAAACATACCAATGATTATAGCATTATGAAATTAAACTCTACAGTCATATCATTTACTGAATTTTATCATCATTGATTGCTGCCTTCAGTTATTCTGTGTATCTATTAAAGAACTTTAGAAAGGAGCTCTCTTTAGGAGCAACAAGGCAATGTTTACTGTATAAAATTGTTCAATTATATATAGAATAGGCCCATTCTAAGTCTGCAGGGTATCTACAGCACTGCAAGTTTCTGCTAGCTCAGTCAACAGAACATCGGATGATTGTTCTTTTCTTACTGATTCAAAACATATAATATTGGGTAATTTAAACTCATTTTACAGCCTTTGTCTTAGTCAGAATTCCCTTTTTCTTTAGGTTCTTTTGCTTTCAGCTGAACACGGTAATAAGGGCTCACTGCAGTAGCCATCTCTCTGTCAGGAGAACTCTGCAACAGTTAACTAGCGTTTCTGAACAGAAAGTATAGATTTTCAGCCCTTCAAATTCTACATCCTTCAACAGGAAACTGTCATGGACTAACATTCAAGAATCAAAAAATGCTGCAGCACCTGCTTCTTCTCCAATGGACAACTGTCTAGGTTTAGTTACAAGTAACACTTCTTTCTAGTCAAGTTAGACCAAACGAACTATGAGACAGGACTTGGATTTCACCAGTTTCTAATCCTTACCAAATTTCTGAAGTCAGCTTTCTTTGCCAGCAAAATGGGCTTAATAAATTTGCAGATAATACTAACAGTAAATAGCTGACTCACTGAAAATGATAGAATCATGGAATCATAGAATATCCTTAGCTATGCGAGGGTACTCACACAGATCTTTCAGTCCAACCCCTGGCTCCACACACAGCCATCCAAAATTCAAACCCTATGTCTGAGAGTGTTGTCCAAATGCTCCTTGACCTCTGGCAGCTCAGGGTTTTGCTCACTGCCCTGGTCAGCATGTTCCATGCGCACCACCCTCTGGTGTAGAACTTTTTCCTAACAGCCAACCTGACCCTCCCCTGATGCAGCTCCATGCCATTCCCTTGGGTCCTGCTGTTATCACCAGAGAGATCAGCACTGCTCCTCTACTCCCCTATGAGGGGACAGGTGGCCACAAGGCTCCCCTCAGCCTCTTCTGCTCTGAACAAACTAAATGACTGAACAAACTAGACCTCAACCACTCCTCCTAGAACTTCTCCTCTTAGACACTTCCAGCTCTTCACAGCCATCCTTTAGACACTCTATTAGTTTTATTTCCTTCTTATACTGTAGTGCCAAAATCTACACACAGTACTCGATGTGAAGCCACACAAGCTCAGAGTGGAGCAGGATAATTCCATCTCTTCATCAATAAATAATTACAGAACTCCAATTTTGAGTGAATTTAAGAAGCTAGAAGGACCAACAGAAACCTCATGAAGGTCAACAAGAAGTGGCACAGAGTTCTACACATTTGTAACGATGACCAGGCCCATACAGTTTTACAGGCTGGGAAATAACAGACCGAGTTAAAGCACTGTTGGAAGAAAGTTATTGCAAACCTTGAATAGGCTATACAGATTCAAGATTCAACTAGACAGAGACATAACTGCCTTGATTTTCTGTTTACTGTTGGCAGTAGAAATGCTTGAAGAGAAATACTGAAGAAGACCTTCAATTGACCCTTCCGATAGACATTTCCATGACCCTCTGAAGTTCTCATCTGTATCCAGGGTATTGTTTTTAGATTCCCTTGTTCAAAAGGAGCCATTGTTGGAAGAGATGACTTTTGGTAAGTGTGATCTGTGAAACAAAACAACTAAAGCTAGAAAACAAAATCCAACTCTTGCGTGGAGTATTGGAGAAGCTGGTGACCCGAGGGAGGTTTGAGTGATGAGGGAGAAACAGGAGAGGAAGTTTTCAAACAGTTTTGCCACTATTTTTTGTTTGATCTCAGGAATACATCCTGAAGAGATCCCAATAAAGAGCTAAGCCTCTTTTTTTTCTAAATTACTGAATCAGAAGCCTGGGCATTCTGTTTAAAGATATGATGCTGACCTTTTTGTGCTCTTAGAGAGTGTAGGCCTGGTGATAATTTTACTTCTACATTTCTAAATTTTTAGGGAGTGCAGCTGGAATAAAGTCTAATAATGCAATTCAGAAGAGTACCATATTTATACAAAACAACATGTGACATTTGCAGCAGAGTCATAATTATAAGTAAATCCCCAATTTGCTAGTAAACCAGATGATAGCTTTCAGTTCACAGCAATCGCCAAAACTTTTTGCACATTTTTTCTGTCATTTTAACATGGTAATGAGACAAAGACATCTTTATAAATAAATGTGTTCTGTAAAACACAAAGGGAAAGAAACAGATAGAATCAATCAAATCACATTTACAGCAATAAATAAATGTACAATTTCCTGTGACTGGCTTAATGTCATCTGCTATTCATTCATACTGGCTTTGCAAGAATTATAATTTCAACCTTGCTGATTGAGTTTGCCCTTCAGATTCCACAGCAGTGCTTAGAGTGAATTTCATTAATAATGCAAGTAAATTTTGTTAGAAAAAAGATGTGGGGGACAAAAAATAAAAAAGAAAAAAAAAAAGAAAAAAATGCCTGCAAAGAACACAAATTAAAACTGTCTATGTTGCTGCTTTAATCTCTTTCCTTTGGAACATTGTTGTACAAATGAACTTGTAATAGAAACTGCCTCAAAGCCACAGTTCCTTGCTCAGATGTTAATATCATTAAAAATCTTAGCAATGACTGAAAGGAAAATCCAAATTAAATTTATAAATACAGCAGGATCTGCAAGCATGCACAACTCCATTACACAATTCTCCTTGCTTTCCAGCTGTATTCCCTCTTAAATATGAACAAAGTATTTTGAAACAGCAAGAAAAAGACAAAGGTATATGGAGAACTGTAATTAGAATGTTGGGAAAAGTATACTGAAAGAGAAAGATTTCCATTAAATATGTAACTACGTAGATCATTTATGCTGTATGCCCTTTAAAAGGCATAATAAAAGCCACAATTTCTAAATCTGAAATCTGAAATCTTCGAAAGACATTCTCACTTCAACACATTAATTAAACAGAAACAGATTTAATCTTTCATAACTACTACAGACAGAGTATTCTGCTGAACATTTAACTTTGGCTAAGTGCACAAGAGCCTAGCACTTGAGCAAAATTACGCTGATGATATTTTGTAGATATCTAGTCCCAAGTGAGAGTAGATGTGGCAAGACATGCCTGTACTAAACAAAGTATAATTAAGCAGCTATACACTATAGTAGTTTATTGTTGCAGAAAAAATACTCTTCATATTAAGCTCATGAGAAATGTACTGTATTCACTATTTTCATTTAATTTAGAAATCTTATAGCTGAAATTAACATAGAATTAACAAATGCATTTTGCATATCTTAGTGGCACTATTGTCTATATACAGGTTCATTCAGTGATGTATGTACATCACAGCAGTCAAGGTTTGCAAACAATCACTATGGGTGAGCTAACCACTCACACCCATGTCTATTTACATAAATGTTTATCCTGACTTTTTAGATACACCAAGGATTTACAATCTTAGCAAAGCCACTAGAAACCCAGAGCCATCAAATCACAATGTTTATCTAAGTGGCCCAAACCAAAGTACATATTTAGATAAAACATTTAGTATTCTAGGCTACATGAAGACATTTATCCCAAACTACCACAACAATGCTTATAATGGTTAATTAAGTCAGTTGCCTTGGCTGTGTTAGGAACAAAAGAAAGCTGTCAGCATCAAAATCAGACTAGAGACAGCTCATCCAGGAGCTGTTCTAGCATGGAAGTACAGCAAAGATGGAAAGCATGTAAGCTAGGAAATGTAAAAAACACTTCTGTAAAAAACAGAAACGTATCACGCAAGCTGCATAACCTGATCTGAATTAAAAAGAACATGCAGTGACAAGTAAGGAGAGTTTATAAAGAAATCGAAGGGTAAGACACAGACAGAGGCAATGGATTATATAGGAATACATATCTGTCATTATCATAACAAAGGCTCGTAGAAGTCGAGGACAAATCAATCTCTTAAGGGCTGTGATCTCCTGCCCTGATGTGTTTTGCAAGTTTAAGTTCTTTCCATGTGTATGAATGATTTGCACTGTTAATAAATATCATTATTCTTATCTGTGACAGATGAGTTTCATTCTACCTAGTTAAGGGGAAAGTAATTTAGGTTAAATGCAAACTACGTTAAGAATGCAGATTTATGCATGTCAAACCAAAAATGATAATCAGAATGCTTCACACTGACAATGTTGAGGTATGATTGGGTCTCACTTGGTCTTTTATACAGATGACGCTTTACAGCATACTTGCATTCCTTGTACAATTTACGTAGCTAGGTATCATGTGAAGAGCAAACTACCCTCTACACACTCTTGATAAAACTAGAACAGAATAACAAGGTAACTTAAATTTACAGACTAGCAACTAC